TCCCCCCCAAAAATGTCAAAGAAAAGAAATAAAGGAGAACCCTTTTAACTCCCTGGAGGGCTTGAACACCAGGAAGGAGAAAGCTAGAAATAATATATAGAAATAAATAACAGCGGGCTCAACCGTGACTTCTCTGCAGGGACATTTCAGTAACCCACTTTCGGCACTTTTCAAGGGCCTCCGGGCAAGAGTTCCTGCGTGCTGTCGGTATCGCATCGCTGACCGTTTATGACGCCACAGTGCCAGAAGAGAGAGAGAGAGAGAGAGAGAGAGAGAGAGAGAGAGAGAGAGAGAGAGAGAGAGAGAGCCGTGCCTTCCTCAAAATGCTCATCTTTTGACTAGTTTTTGCTGTGGGCTTCTTAATTAGAGACCAAACTGACAACTGATTATGGCAGTATCTTTTCATATGAAGCGCAATTAAACAAAAACACAATCAAGGCCGCCAAAGCAGTGCCAAATGCGACGATGTATTTTGAAATAAGGGAGGGGGCTACGAGCATATTCACGCCCTTCATCCACTGCTCAGACAGACTCTAAATAAATAGAAATAGATCCATAATAACTTTTAAAATTTATGGTTCGGATATAATCGGCGCAAGATCATCTCATTTGTTTGGGTTAAATGATGGAAGGTGACGGTTGTTACTGTAGTTGCATGGTGTTGTCGGACTAACCTTAAAGAAGTGAGATGGCACGGACACTTCACCCTCGCCCAAGACGTCGTATTTCATGCACGCCTTGCCTTCGTTATCGCTGTAACAAGAAACAGTGTAATGTCCGTTAATCACAACTTAGTTTAGTTTTAGTAAGAGTTTTACGGCACTTGCAACACTATAAGGTCATATAAGTGCTGAAGAACAGATGTATTACAAGACAGTAAAATACACAAAAAAGAAGGAGGAGAGATAAGGACGATAGATGTCCGATAGGAAAGAAGAAGCAAACCACACCAGAGCACCCGCCAACCACCCACATTAATCATTACTTAGTTTAGTTTTAGTTAGAGTTTTACGGCACTTGTAACACAACAGTCCATATAAGTGCCGAAGATAAGAGGTGTTACAAGTACAAGAGAGTAACAAACACAAAAAAGATGGAGGGGAGATAAGGATGATAGATGTTTGATAGGAAAGAAGGAGCAAACCACACCAAAGCACCCGCCAATCACCCAATAATTATAACTGAAATTGTGAGTCTTTGGGAAAAGAAATCAACCGCTTGTTGGTAATAAAACAGCCACTTTTCACAACTGAAAACAAATTGGGGGGGTTGTTTTGTTTCAGTTTTAGTTAATAGTTACAAGTTTTACGGCATTCGCAACATAATGGTTGCATAACCGAAGATTATGTGTTACTAGAGAGTATACAGATTTTAAAAAAAGGCGGACAGATAAGGACTATAGATAAATGTTTAATAGAAAAGTAGGAGCAAACCACGCTAGAGCACCCGCCAACCACACATAGGCCAATTAATGCAAGGGGAAAATAAGAGGGGCAGAAAAATTAATCATGCCGGGCAGAGAAGGATCAATATAAGTGCAAGGCAAGTGGGTAGCAACAACCCCAAAACAACCACACTCTGACGTACTTATACTATGTCATCAATGACGTACCATGGCAGGAACAGAGGCCCAGAGCAGACGTACACGCTCTTGTTCTCCCTGACCAGTTTCTCACGGATGTAACACTGCAGGTCAAACCATGGGCCACAGCTGAAACCAGGGACCTGCCCAAAAGCACATTGTCATTTTAAAAAGGCCGCTAGATCTAGTTAGTACAAAATGTTCTCAGCCTCCTATTGCGAGGGTCAATAAACTACAGCACCCGTGGTCAGTTCGTCTGGCTCGCCTCCACGCCTTTTAGTTTGAGTAAGGGTTTTACGGCACTTGCAACACAATAAGGTCATAATAATAAGTGCCGAAGATAAGAAGTGTTACAAGTACAAGAGAGTAGCCTATCAGACACCAAAATGAAGGAGAGATTAGGGTGATAGATTTTTTTAAATAGGAAAGTAGGAGCAAACCACACCAGAATACCCGCCAACCATTCACTTTCCACTATGGGACGGGAAAAAGCAACTTAGAAGATGTGTTTATAGTGCTGAAAACTTTGTCTCCAAAGCAGGCACTGACTAATTTGATATTAAAATCATCCCATTGACCTCTACACTTCAAATGAAAGGTACTTAGTTAACTTCTTGCTAGTCTTTAATTACAATATTGGGTTAAAAAAAACTTCTTGCTAGTCTTTAATTACAATATTGGGTTTAAAAAATATTATTCATGTACATGTAGGCCTATATTATGCATTTTGTGCATTGATAATGAACAGTAAGTTGGATTTCTATTTTGCAATGTAGGCCTGTTCATTGTTTTGTACTGAACAAAATATTTGCTCGGCCTAAGTTTGGTAACCGTTTGCCTAATATAGCTTGAAAGCATTTTCTGAAAGATCAGTTTCCAAATTACCGAAAAGATAACATAGACTTAGCAGTACTTGATTGGTTTAGTAACTTGGCAGCCTAATGGTTTCATAGTTAAGGCTGTGTCGTTATCCCATTTCAAAGACAGTGGTGGGAACTGCAGCTGTGTTGTAGGCCTAATTGTCTGTTGACGTTTCTTATGGTTAAAAAAGGGGAATCGAAACTTCAGTGCCCTTTAGAGCTGCCAATAGTATGAAAGGCAGACAGAAAATAAATGATTTAAGAATACTGTGTAAACAAAGCGATAAGGCAATTGGTATTTGTAACTTTGAGACTTAGAAATAACAGCCTATTTGTTTTCATGTTGGCGTTTGGGAACAGTTTCGTGACGTGTCAATGCAATAAACAGTCACATTCTGTCGTCAGTAATGATATGATAAATAAAACATTAGGAAGAAACAGGAGCTGATCTCACCACAGCACCCAACAGACATGACATCCTCCCAAAAAATCAACCCCCCCCCCCCCCCCCCGAAATAAACAACAAAACAAAACAAATCAAAACCCCCTTTAAAACACACCAAAAACCCAAGACCCTCGAAAGAAAGCCTCTGAAATTGAATCCGATATCAATACGATAGCTACAGAGAATGACATCAACGCAGTAATAAAAAACTGTCAGTCACAAGCCTGTTGTCTCATACTTGAGGAGAAGACGTTTTTTTCCCCCAATCTAAATGAAACCCATGAGAGTATTAAGCAAAGGGCTAGAAATACTGTTGGCTATACCGTGATGATGAAACCAGTAGGTTTGAACTTACAATAGGTACGACGTTAGTCATGACTTGGGTCTCCGCGCAGGCTTCGGAGTCGAAGGGATAGTTGGCGGGGTCTGCCATCAGGCCAAGCTCATAATCTGTGTCGCAGTAGTCCTTGACATCGGCGCGGTGGTAGCCGTGGATACGGCAGTCCGGGTGGAACTTGGGCTTCTCAATGCCCAAAGCTGCGGCGTCGTCACTAAGCGTTGCAAAGAAGCGAGGGAAAGAGTGAGTGTGTGTGTGTGTGGTAGAGAGGGGGGGGGGGGTGCGGGATTATTTTAGTCATTTTGAAATAAGACAATAATTTAGACAATCAATGGCAATCTTGGTTCAATTCGTACTAGATATCTAGATCTAGATCTAATTCCCGTTTGTTTGTTGTGTAAAGTGCATAAAAATATAGCTTTGGATGTTTGAGGGATTAAGATTTTACAGTTGTTACAATTGCTGAGGTCTCCTTTCTTTGGCAGTTTGATAATATTAGGTGGCCTTCCTTCCAGCCTGATGGTATTTCCTCCTTTTGCCAATAGAGCATAGAGAATTTCCACTAATGTGTCTTTATCTGCCTTATGGTTTTCCGGTCGGGACGAGCTGCCTTGTGGGACTTCAGTGATGTTACAGCTGCTGCAATTTTCTTTCTCGAAGGTGGTTCCGTAACTATTGTGAGGTTATTTCTGGCAGGAAGAATTTCTGGTTGGTTTTCTAGAGGTGATCTGTTCAAGAGTTGATCAAAGTGTTCTTTCCATCGGATAAGTTGCCCCTCTAGTCTTTCACTGGTATAGTGGGCTTGCTGAATCTACCTGAAAGAGTTTTTGTTGTCTGGTGTACAATCCGCAAGTACTCGTCTGTTGCTGCTCTCTCTGCCTTTTCGGCCAGGCCATTCAGGTAGGTATTCTTGTCCTTCTTGATGGAATTCTTTACCTCCCGGTTTACTTCTGTGTACTCTGGTTGTTCAGCGAGTTTCTCAGTTCAGGTACAGCTGTTGTTGACTTGGGCCTTCAGCTCTCTTCTTCTTTTGACTATGTCTAGAGAGTTCTGTGAAATCCATTCATTCCGGGTGTTGTCTGTGGGTCCTAGGGTGCTCTGGCAAGTTGAATTTACTGCCTCTTTTACCTTGTCCCAGTGTTCGCTTACTTCACATTCATCCAGATCTTGAAGGGCTTGCAATCTGTTCTTCAGTTCCAAATTGAACTCATTCTTCTTTACTGGGTCTTTCAGAAGGCTCACTTCAAACTTTTGACGACTTCCAGATGTGACTTGTGCATACTTTTTCAGCTTCAGCTTCATCTTTCCAAGGATCAAATGGCGGTCTGATGCGACGTCTGCTCCTCGTTAAACTCGGGCATCCTCCAGTGAACGAGATGAGTGAATGGGGGATGGGAAAATTTTCAGAATTGATTTTTATGATGCCATTTTCTTCTTCACCTCAACTTTCCACCTCAGCTGAGTGCCCTCCTTCCACATCTTTTTCTTCACCTCAACCTTCCACCTCTGGTAATGACATACATTCTTTGACCTCTTCAACAGGATCAAACTCTGTAACCCTGTGTCAGCTGCCATTTCTGCCTAATCTCTTAATATTATAAAAGTTGATTTCCAGATTTCACAAACCCCTCGTGTGCTGGTGCGGAAAGGACGAGTTTTGAGAAAGTTTGTGCCAAATATTTAACAAGTGAAGAAATAATGAATAATAATCTAAGCTAGACTCAGTATTCTGACTGTAACGCAAAATGTTATTGTGATGCATGCTCTAAGGTCAAAATCTATGAATGAATAGACTTCTACTTGTAACAAGGTTAAGATGGAAGAATTTTGATGAATGATGGTAAAAATGACCTGCTGTATCTTTCTTTGCTACAGATCAGAAGCCTAGTTTTTTTTTAAACTTCTGACGTGTTTTTATTTGAGGGAACAAGGGATGTTCATTGTCCAAAAAGATGGAATTAATTTTTTTTAGTGCAAGCTGTAAAGTACAATTCATCCAAGTAGGGGAATATAGAAGTTGACCAAAAAATATCTACGGATGTGTTACACCCAGGTTGTCGGTTAAAGGGGTATAAATAGGTTGCCGGGGAAAGAGTTAAATAAATCCTCGGGACCTTAAATCTAAGCGCTTAGACCTAATATATCTACTTACTTGTATGGGCATACGTTGACTCTCTTGTCGCATGGGTCATCCTTGAAGAATTTGTTGTACTGGAGATGCTCGTACACCCAGTTGGGGATACGGTTCTTGGTATCGTAGGAGATGATGAAGTCTTTGTAACGCAGGGGCTTGCAGCAAGCCGTCAGTTGTGGGAAACCAACAGTCTTTTTGATCCGATCTCCAACGTACATGGGTTCGCAGCCATGGTGATGATGATGATGGGCACTCACGCTAGGAAGACATTTTTCGAGACTGAGCATATTGGCAGCGGGTAGAGTAAGATCTTTGGGACCGTCGGCATGATTTTTTATGCCAACTGCGAGCGCGCACGCAGCATAAGAAAAGTTACGGAACATGATGTTTTAAAGTGAAGGGGGCCAAACAAATACGAAACAGACCAAAATATTAACTATGGCCTTTCTTTTCTGAGGGAGTTGTCTGTTCGTCAGATCTCGGCCTTCCTTGGGTATACACAGTGTAGCGTCGGCGAATGACGTGACAGTTCTCCTTGACAACCCACTTGTTTCTATGACGTAACAAAATAAATTTGATTGGCTTTGAGGGTTTCCATTTTTAGTGCCCCTCTTGCAGTCTTTCATTTGGGTTCTTAGATTTCTCACGAAAAATATTGTTTGACGTCATCGATTGCCGTCATTAGAATGCTTTGTACTTTCTATTTGTGAAGTCTTTGCGGCAGGGCAATTTTTTTTCTTTGTGTGTGGGGGGGGGGGGTGCATTTTTTATATGGGCTGAAAGGGAAGGGTTGGGGCGTATCGTTTTCTTGGATTAGAATATAAGACTTACGTATCTATTTACTACACGCATTCACTCTCTCACTAAGTCACTCACTCACTCACTCTCTCACTCACGCATTCACTAACTCAGTCGAAGAAAATTGATGTTAGTTATTGAGAATTTATGGCGGTGCATTCAAATTTTTAAAAAAGGAAAAGAAAAAAATAGAAAAGAAAAAAAAAAAGAAAGATAAGCAAAGGTGGCAGTGATTGATAGGATCAAATGAAAAGGTCTATCCCTGTTCTGTACCCTGCTCAGCACCTTTTGCTTATTTAAAAGTTGCAAGTATCCACCACTAAGTCCTTCTTCATCTTGATACTGGTATTAATTTCGCACTTCCATTCATTGCGATCTTCCAACATCTTCCACGTTCCAACATTAATCTCTGTTGAGATCATGTTCCTTTTGCTGGATTCTGTAGCCTATATCATAATTAGGGTCGGCCATTCTTCCTTTCGAATGACTCGCATTACTAAAAAATAAGCGACACCAGACCACCCCACCACAAAATGGCGTATATGAATGTTGCCCAGTCACTGGTTCACTACTTTATATTTACAATATCAATAACCAAGTTTGATTAGCGATAAGCTTGGAAGGTTTCAAAAATGGGAATTTCTAGATCTGGATCTTTGGGCCTACGCATGCAAGAGTGTGGATTAGAATTGGTAGAAAAGGCTGCGTAGGTGATAATTAGCATGGTTACTTCTGATAAGACCCCCCCCCCCTTTTCCCCGTCTCAAGACATACAAACCTTTACGTATTGATGACTGTTGTTTTTCAGTATCATAGATTTTTAACGGGCGGTGTCATGTCAACAATTTCCGTTTCTTTACGTGTTTCCTTGTTTGTAAATTTGTTTGTCTGAGATACTAGTATTATGTTCAACATGTTGGCACTGGATTCCTTTTTTCGTTTTGCGTGTGTGTGTGTGTGGGGGGGGGGGGGGGGG